GTCGGCCGAGAGCAAGGTCGAGCTCGAGGACAAAGTAAGGAACAGCAGCAGGTCGAATGCAGTTAAGAACGCTACGGTAGAAGTGGAAATCGGCCCGAACAATGAACCGATAGGTAAGTAAGTAAGTAAGTACAGTACGAGCGGTAGACGATTGAACGGGAGACGCGACATGGTTGGACGAGCGTTGTCTTGAGTGCAGGAGCGGGGACGCCGGAGACGAGGACGACGGCGACGACAACATCGAAGACGAGAACGCGGACGGGAAGAGGAACGGAAACGAGCGAAACCAGCCGGTGGAAGGCAGTCGGCCGCTTGCTTTGCCGTCTAACGCTCATCATGCTTCTGCTAGCGTGCTCCGCTGCCTGTTTGGCTTTCCTCGCCATATACGCAGGCCCGATATTCCTCGTGGAATTGCTTGTGGTTGTTCTCGTCGCGTATTTAGTGTCCGGAGGACGATTCCGATGGTTCTACGTAGCCGCTAGAACAGCACCTAGGGACATTGTGTGAGTACCAATTCTCTTCGATACAACCCGAACATCCTAGCTGCATGTACATATAAGAGCCGTACACGCTTTCGACTGGCGAGCCATTCTAATCCTGGAACCGTTGAACGGAAACCGGGTCAATCTTCCTGTAACTCTTATTCTTGGCTATTCTTTGCCGGAGCATACTTTTCTTCTCCTTCGTCGTCCTTTATTTTTTAGTCTTCGATTACCGGTTACCGTATGTACGCTCGTTGTGACTAATTATAACGCTTCGAGCACGTGAAACTATTTCAGAAGGAAATTGTGCGTTTGGCGGATGGACGCACGACAGGAATTTCAAACTACCGGTTCTGCCGGACTGGTCAAAACAATCGATATGTTAGGTCATCGTATGAATAACGTGGTGCTCTTAGTCATTTTACTTTTCCTTGCATGATTCGAGATTTTGACATTTTTGTGACGTATGTGGCGTTCCGTTCTTTCTAACCGGTATAATTTTTTATTCGATGAACCAAGTGAAAAGATCATATTTTTCTGTATTGTTTAAAAGCTTGCTGCCAAGTAAAAAACTTGGGAATTATATTTAAAGTGTTCCAGTATTTATTAGCTCTCCATGAACGCGTCACGGTTCGGTTATTAGAAATAAAAGTTGAAACGCATATTTCTCGGAATAACTTTCTTTTGTCTGACGGGATAAAAATAACTAAATTATTGAATCGATCTGAAATGTGTTTCATGTTTACAAATTGTATTTGAGTTTTAAGTTTTGTTTAATTTTGACATGAGTGCCTAGTTGTAATTCGTTGATAGCCGTGCTTAGATTAAAAAGCATTTGATATTTTCTATGAGATAAGACTGTAAACAGATATTTATCTTGTTACGCCTGTCCGAAAATGCCATATCAAATTTTATATTTTTTAAATAGATATAACTAGAAAGTATTTCAAGATGTTTCCTTCATTTATTATACAAACAAAAAAATAAAGTTAGCTGGCTTACTAGAATCTTTGAATTAAAAATTTTATTTTATTTGATAGAATAATTAAAGCTAAAGCAGAGAGTAGTAGCTTTGTACTTTGATTTAAACTGACCCTAAATAGAAGTATAATTAGTTTTTAATCAAACATTAAGTGAAACATTTAGTTTATTTTCCCGAAAATGCATTGGCATAATTAGGTAGGAACCAAAATGAGTCTAGTTCCTCTCATGGTATCTTGTCTTACTGGAAATAAATATTTGGGCCAGTATAGTGTAATTAAAGCATATAAAAGTATTATTATAAAGCGATGTTGAAATGATTAGTACATGACATTTACGATTACATTATTGATCATACATATTTCAATTATACCCCATTTGTCGGTCAGTTTTTATTTGCTATTTTTTGTCAAATAATTGTTACTGTTTTCTATCAAAGCACTGATAAGTAGTATGTATAATTTATTATGATTTTAGTGTAAAATATTTACAATATTGTATAATTATTCTACGATTTTAAATTATCTATGTTTTGCATGAATCAGTATTTATTTTAATAGGCATACTTGTAATGTAATAAACGTAGTACTTTACATGTTTAACGGCAACAGTGAATCATAATAATCGATATTGATCATGTATAATTATTACACATTGTTAAAATAGAAAATTGATGAAAAGACAGCTTCATTATCTCACAATTTCTACATTTTAAATATTTTTTTTGTACATTTCGAGTTAGATTTTTTTAAACGATGAATTTATGGATTACTGTAATATCGCTGATTGAAAATAGCAATAATTGTTGATTTCATGATGTAACCTCTGTGATTAATCGATTTTAGAACATTAACTAATTTTTAATGTGCCCATTATTTCAATTAAATTGGTAATCGTGTAACTGTTTCTCATAAATATGAATACTTATACTTCATAATGAGAATAGCGTATCTGATGCACGAGATGCGAATGAAATTCAAAAAGAAGATAAACTGCGACTTTCTAGAGGTATCAGTATACGCTATAAAACACGTTTGAAAGGAAGGAAATCCTTGTGAATTATAGATGACCCGGTTTCCGACTGACAAACAGCACGTGATATTAACATTTCCTTCCCTGGAAACTAATATTATTCTTATAAAATAATTATTTAATTTTCATTTATATGATGTGAAAAAGGAATCTCTTTTCACGGTACAGTAAATAAAGAAATGAATAATATTTCCATTTATGATGGGTTTATTTACGAATAATTGTGTTTTTCAAGTCTGGAAAATTAATATTCAATAATAATTGTTTATCAATGAAACGTCAGAAAATATTGGAACATGGTTTCCCGCTATTATTCAATTACATTGGCAATTCGTGCATTTGCAACATTTATTACATTTACATCAAATGTAAATTTGGAAGCTTATGTACAAATTTATAATTTTATCTCTTAGAAAATTTGTAATTTCTACAATTTGAATTTTGTGGCAGTCCTTTTTGGTTTTTGAGACATATTATATTGAAGTACTATAAAAATATTTGTTTTGAACTTATTATCTACACACCATAATACTATGTGTAATATTTACATACATTACTATAATATACCCCACTTAATTTCTAGTCTATTCTATCTAAGATGAAAATAAGATTAAAATTGTGATCTGAGTTTAGACCGTATTCAATTGAAGAGTAAGATTAAAAAAAATAAAGTTTAAAAGCAATATGTCTTTATTTATCTAATATTTATTGAGAAGATACATTTCTGACATAACTGTCAATATACCTCACAATTACCATTTAGTTTCATTACGGATTTCGAAATAAGTACACACAGTTTACAAATTCGCATATCTCAAGAATCAAAAGAAGCCGCCGTAAAATTGAAAACGCGTGTCACTTACAAATATACCTTTTACAACATAACTCAAAAGAAAAATGATCTATGTTATGTAAGTTATGTCAACCTTAGCTAACTATTATTTCAGTCCTGTATTAATATGTAAACGTTGAAAAACGTAAACTCTCCATTGATTTATCTGCATAAATATATTTAAAACCTTCTTTAAATGTTTGTTACAGAATGTGTATAATGAATAATGGAGTTGCTATGACGTTTAATTTGTTATGTTTACTATATTTGTTATAACTTACATCACTTATAGGATAAGTAGATTTGTTTGAAAAAAGTGTTAAAAGGAATTCAATAGAAGCCTAATATTATATCTAAAAATGGAACTCATATTGAGATGCTACACTCATATTATTAAAAATGGACCTTCATATTAAGATGCTATACTCATATTATTACAATAATAAAGTATACAAGACAGTTGCATATTCATTAAATCACCCTTCGAACACGTAGAAGCATTTTTATAATATTTGACAACCCCAGTTATGAGCCAAATGTTGAACCTAACCATCTTCAACTACCTATATCTCCCATAGTCTTTAATGCTAATCTTTACATCTCGTTAACGTAATGAAGGAGCACTACACATTGGTATGTAACTCGTTAGTGTTCATTATATCGTCCAATTCGAAACATAGTTCATTCGAAGTTTATTCAGGGTACATAAGGAGCACGTGTAAATAGCACTTAGCATGATTCTACGCCTTAGCATGATTCTTCACTTGAAGTTTAAAGTCGAACTTTTTTTTTACTATATTTCAAACATAAAAAGTGCCAAAGCAATTATAAGTCGCATTTCAACTTCTTGAAGTGATATAGAAGTTAAACATGTTAGAATTTCATTACTAATAACTTAGAGTGGAACGATAACGGAATTCCGACCAGAAGGAAGATTCTACGTGAAAAATTAAGAAAAATATTTGGAACGACGTATTGTATTTTGTGCAACGTTTGTTTTTAAGGAACCAATTTGGAAGATTCGTCATACGCATTTGTGATCTCTTGCTGTTTTGACAAAAACTATGAGGAAGAAATTCATAATTCTATGCATATCTGACGAACTTCCAGCTTATTTTCTCGAAAACGAGGTGTTACGTACAACAAATTCGTAATAAATTTTTTATTTACTTTTTTCCGTATGCACTTTTATTTTAAGTTGTCAGTAATGAAATCTTAAATCATTTCTTAACGGTACGATTGGGTTTCGATCCAAGATCTCTTTGAAACTTTATTTTCTTGACGAGTATTATACGATGCAACAATAATAAAAATTTAAAAGAGAATGTTTTTTTTTTATTTACAGATCTATACTGATCCAGAGATTTAAGAATCATGGTATAGTACATATATAGTACATAAATCATACTACGTATAGGTACATTTACAAATATACGTATATGTATATTTTGTAAACACCATATACAAATATTATAACGAAAAAGTAACTAAAGGTACCCATTTTATAGATATGTATAATTAAATTAAAACTTTCACGAGTTCTACACTTTCTCTTTTTCCCTAGCATCTTACATTTTGGTCCGTAAATGGCGGAGTGTTTTACAAGGTTACATTACTGATTTGGTCATTTATTTCACACATCACATTATTAACAATAATTGTTTGTTTATGAGCATTAGTGATATCAAACATACTGTTGAAATCGATATCTGATCAAAAATCGGATTTTAATTTGTTTGTTGAAATTAGCAATGTCATTTAATATTTCAAAAACAAATATATCGTATACATACGATCGTTATCTACCAGACTTTGGTCCAGAACGAATATGTATATGTTTATTTTGATTTTTAGAATGCAAGTAATCCGTTATATATTTTTTCTAAATTGTTCATGTTACATTTATGAGATGAGTTAAAAACACGTGGTATATCATGTTTTATGTGTACTTAAGTCCAGTGTAGACTTTCTTTGTTTAGAATGTAAATAGGAAATATAAATTTGAAATTGTTGAGTTTCCAAATCTCCAGATATCTCCAGATAAATTTCTAAATCTCCAGATATAAAAATTTCGAATTTCTTAATACCCACAAATTTCAAATCGTTCAATCTGAAATTTCCAAGTTTTTTAAATCCCAAATTTATAAATTTAAAAATTTCAGAATACCCGGTATTAAATTTTTAAATTTTCACACTTCTAAATACTCAACATTCTTAAACCTCTAACTTTTCAAAGCTTTAATCTCTCAGACTTTCCTTTTTTCAGAAATTCAGATTTTTAATTGATAAATAGTTTATATATGACAGTTTAAGTAATATTGATTAATGCATAATTATACAAAGTAGCTTGAAACATCTAAAATTGAGATTTTAGATTAGGATGTTGAAAAAAGACGATTAAAATTTTAAAATAGATACATAAAGTGTTTAACGTCGATATTACGCATACGTGACATCAGGAGTTAAAATGTAGAAAATTTTAAATTCTAATAGCAATGCTATCATTATTTTTGTATAACTTTTCCATGCTCACAAACTTTTCAATGTTCACAACTTTTAATGATGCGTCATTGAATACAGCGGGGCAATTTTTAATTCTATCTTTCTCTCTTATTTTTTCCATAATTTGTAGCAGCCTCTAAAAAATATTAGAAAATTTTTCTGGGATATGCTGTTATGGAATTTTGAAATCTCTTTTGAATTTAAGAATTTGGAAAATTGGGAATTTGATGAGAAGTTAAGAATTTAAGAATTTGGGGATTCGAGCAATTAGAGATTTCAGAAGTTAGGAATTTGAGAATTTATGGATTTCAGCAATTAAGGATTGGAGAAGTGAAGAATTTGAGAATTTGGGAATTTGAGCAATTAGGGATTTGAGAAGTTAAAAATTATAAAATTTGGAGACTTGAAAAGTGAAGAATTTGAGAATTTGGGAATTTAAGCAATTATGGATTTGAGAATTTGGTAATTTGAAAATTTGGAGAATAGAAAATATGAAAATTTCGAAATTAAGTGAATTGCAAATTTCAAGATTCAGGTTTCTGAAATTTAGCGATTTTGTGATAAGAATCAATAAGATGCTTTCAAAATTCCCTAGTATAAACTCGTTTGTCACCAATATTATAGAGATTAGACACCAAAATTTAGTACTTACAATACACATATATTGTGAATATTGTCAACATTTACTAAGGATATATTTATTTGACATTTATAATTCATTAACCATTCATCTAAATGTTTCTTTGTATCATAAATACTATGTAGGATACAAATGACTAATTCAGCATAGTATTGCAATAATACAACTATTTATATTTATTCGATGCTTTCTATATATTTATTAACCATTCATCTAAATGTTTCTTTTTATTATAAATACTACATGGGACCCAAATGACTAATTCATCATCTAATCTAATTCATAGCATTGTACTAATACAACCTCAAATATGTAAATAAGTATTACCTCAAATCAATTATTTCATTTATGTTAATAAATGTAGATTTATTATCACATCGAGATTAATTATTAAAACTGAAAAAGTCCAATTAATTAATTAATTTCCACTTTGTGCAGACGTGATTAGTAAAAACTACGACTAAGTATGTACATTTTAATAAAATACAACTAATCTTTATATAATGAAACGTTGTCGACAATGAAGATTATAATCTTACATCGGGATATCATGAGGTTTCTATTATTACGTAAGACTCATATTATTTACCAGCACCTGTGATAAGATTGATCGTACTTCTGTTACTTGAATCGCTTTCTGCGGTTTCTGGTTGAAAATATACGTCATGTTTTCAACATTTTAGTTAAATTTTTCAGATAGCAAGTGTTGGTATTAAATAATTATTTATGTGTATAAAACTGCGACAAATTTATATTTTAATAGTGATTTTTCTTATGTTTGATGTGGTAGTGTGTTAACTTACAAATTTAGGAAGTAGGAGAGTTGAGTATTTAATAATTTAGTGATTTGGGATTTGGGGGATTTGAAAATTTAGAGATTTGAGTATTTAGGAAGATGGAGTAGGAAATTTGGGAATTCAAGAATTTTTAATTTTGAGAATTTTAAGAATTTTTAGAATTCTGAGAATTTCGAAATTTGAGTATTTGAAAGATAGATTTGGAATTTTGAGAATTTGCAAATTTGAGTATCTAAAGGGATAGAATTGGAAATTTGGGAATTTAGGAATTTGGGAATCCAGGCTTCTGAGAATTTGGAGATTTGAATATCTAAAATGATAGAATTAGAAATTTAGAAATTCAGGATTTTGAAAATTTAGAGATTTGAGTGTTTAGAAGGATAGAATTGAAAACTGGCTATTTGGAAATTTGGAAATTTGGAAATTCGGAAATTTGGAAATTCGGAAATATGGAAATTTGGAAATTCGGAAATTTGAAAATTTGGAAATTTGGAAATTTGAGAATTTAGGAATTCAGGATTTTGAGAATTTACAAATTTGAGGATTTAGAAAGGCGGAATTCGAAATTTGGGAATTTGCCAATTTGAACATTTTCATATTTACAAATCTTCAAACTTAAAATGTAAAGAATTTCAAATTGGAATTTTCAAAAATTATTCCTACTTTCTCATTTCCCAATCCGTCATATTACATTCAACATTTTGACCTTTACATTTGTTTACCTTAAAATCGTGCTTTACTTTATCCTACTTTCATCTCAAGATAAATACTGCAATATCCATTAATGCTGCCAAAAGGCTGACCGGAATACGTATTATTATTTGATCGATGTATTTATGTGTTTAATTGCATAACATATTATACATGCAATGAGAAACGATTATGCATTGTTGTATGTTTACAAATATGCAGTTAATACACTGGTAGTATTTACAAATTATAATGGAAACATACTGGATACACCATCTGTTTACTTTTTTAACTCATTCAAATACATGATACAGCGTACTCAGAAAAAAATGCAGCTGTTTGAGCATAAAATTGATTCGAGAATATTTAAATACGTGCACAGAGCTGATCCATTACGTACACACGTGCGTCATACATGTTGTCACGCAAAATGAGTTATAAATCGCTTTAAAACGATATGCGCTACGTACACGTTTCTTTCATTGCTTTAACTGACCCATTGAAACAGCTAAACGTTTAAACATCCTTTATGGTGCACTTAGATTTAACTTGCCCTATAATTGATTTACCACTGCCTAAGAAACTTACAGTTTTTCAAACATATTTTACACGTACATTAGTATACAGTATTTTGTTTATTTAATGTTTCGTTTTATACACACCAATATGATTATTAGTGACTACTAAAACTATAATTAATGACTAGAAGCATGTGCAGTATTACCTACTTCTTTTTCGACTGTTAAATCCTTCACTGGATTTACGAAATTCGTCAGAAACATTTCTCATTTTAAGTTACATAAATTATTAAGAAACATATGTCGAAATGTTAACTTTTGCTGAGTAACATTGTGGAAGGTAGTTCATGTGTCATCTCTCGTTCATTTTTCTATTTTAGTTCTAATGTAAAAATAAGTGGTTATCATACGTCTGTAAATCGAGCGTTAATCATTTCTTCAGGAAGTTCACAGTGTTTGCGATAACCGTGAATATATTAAAATCCTTGATTATTATTATCTAATTTTGAAGTTACGATTTGGGGTTATGTGTTTGATAAGCTGGCAGCCAGAATCAATGCGGGCTGTGTTGTTTCGTATGCCAATTTATGAAATACGATACATAAGAGACTTGCCAAAATCGTACCGTCTAAGGAATTTTTGATTATATTGATAAATTGGATTACTTGGGTAAATATGATATAAAATGTATATAATAAAGTAAACGATAAAAATTTGCATACAGTATGCAGTACGGTGGTTATCTACCAACAAACAATTTTATATTAATAACATTAAGAAAGAAATAACATTAAAAGAAAACATTAAGAAATCTTGCACAAACGTTTAGCTTCGATGTAATAAAAGAACTACTTTGTGATAGTTTTATGTTGAATCATATCACACTTTCGATGTTCTGAAATCGATCATGATTTTCTGTCATTGACAAGTTTTATATTCGAAATATTTGTAATATGTTTATATATTCTTTTTATCAAACATCAAACTTCAAACTGGCACGTCATAGGTGTTATTTTGCTTCATTTTTATGTCATCAAATCTCGTTTAATTGTCTACATTGAAATTCGATATTTGCACATATAAGCATTTCAAAATAACATTTCATTTACAGTATTTGTTTATAAGCATACTACTACACTTTCATTGAAGTTTGAAAATAAATATTTTTAAAAAAATTGCAGTATGCACGAAATTTATAAAAATGCATTTGCATAATAGTTTAATAAAATGTAGTCTAACTTATTTTATCATTGTCTAATTCTGTTTGAAAATGCTTCTGTATATTTTGCAACAACTCATCAATCATAATTTTCAGTCTATCAACTTTTTTATGTCACATAGTTTCTTTACATGACATTCTACAGTTTTCGATATAAAAAACTTCTTGTCAAAAGATTGATATCTCGTGTCGACAAACAGTACGCACGAATTTATCAACGGACGTGATATCTTATGCGTTTTGCTTCCTGAGTATGCTTTTCTCTCGTGAAAAAAGTTCGCTCGTTTGAAGGTTTTTTGAAACAGATTTGCAAATATCTATACAGAAATGTTTAGACCGTTTTGATCTTCTCACGTTGGAAATTGATTAGCAGATTAGCTTGACTCATACATCGAAAATAATTCGATACTTAGTTATACATGCATATGTAAATAGTTCATACCTCGACTGTCGTCGTGTTTTAACATTGTCGTCACGAAGATTTTCAAATGGTAAAACTAATCGGTGCATTACACACGTAGTTTCTATATTTGATCGACGTGTTACGTGATTTCTAATCCGAATTTATAAAAATTATTCAATTTTTATTACAAAATTTTTTTTGGACAAATCTAAATAATAAGTGAATATGTACTTGTTTCTTCATTATTCACAATAAAATATTTTCTCTTTTAGTTTAAAATTTTAAATTTAGTAATACGAATTCTACGTTCTCTTGAAAGTACGAACTACGATATGTACTTTTAAAAAATTTTTAAATTAATAAGTATTTTTTTTATTTCAGAGCCGTCATAGGATACATTAAGATTCTTTGGACAATTCGTGGACATGAAAGGAAAAACAGAAGTGTTGCTGATGTATTTCGACAAAATTTTAATCGTCATCCCAATAAAGTTTGTTTGATCTGTGAAGATCAGGAATGGACGTTCCAGCAGGTAAACATACAAAAGTAATTCTCAAACAAAATTTTAAAATAATATTAAAATTCATAGGCATTCTTAGTACTCCTAACCATTTCAATTTTTCTATAATTTCATTAAAAAATTTGTATACTCTGAGAAATGATAACAGTAAGAAAATAATCAATTGTTTTTCTATATTACAAAATTAAAAAAGAAAATTGTATACCGTTGCAAATTTACTACATTATCTAAATTATAAATACAAAATTTTAATTAAAAAGGGCAAAAAATATTTTTGATAATGTGATGTGTTAAATGATTTTTGGAACACTAAAAATATACCAAGATTTGATGACATAAAACTATCCCAAAATAGCATATATATCACATCAATTTGAAGCTTAATATCTGTTAAGAATAATCATATAATCATTTCCTTAATTTTTCTATACAAAATTGTTAGTTAAATAATCATCTTATTGCATATTGCTCAGAGTAATGGGTGAAGTGATTTTTCGACATCCAACGTATTCATTTCATCTATAGTTAACAAAACTTTAACTTGTGTCAGTGTTAACTTGGCCCAATGTGTTTACATATTATGAACTCTAATTTTGTACATCATTCTAATCAGTATCAGTCATTGATAATCCTTTCAAATAAATTCTAATCAGTATCAGTCATTGATAATCCTTTCAAATAAATTCTGAGTTGTGTAGAAGATAATATAAACTGATAGTTTGGTATCATTACACGTGAAATACATCGAACGCGTTTTTTCGCGTTATCATTTACCATGTAATTAAAGATCTGACTAGCAAATGTCCTATGACTAAGACATTAACGAATAAAAACTGTTAATTGTGATCATACAATTTCTACGGTGAAACTGAGACAAATAACGTGAGCAAAGTTGCTCTTTATATATCTAAAGAAATTGAGGATTTGTAACCTTTAATAGCCTTGGAATACTTAAACGCACACAGGTCATTGATCTGTCATACAGAACTGTGGAATTATTCGTGCTGTTACTTTCATTTTACATAAAATTATTTTTCACGTGTTCTCACTGAAGATTCATAACTATTAATATTTTATAAACATTTCGATACGTTGTTAATATTAGAGAAAACAGTCTTTTATTTCTATAAACATGTGTGATTCTTATGAATTCATAAGTAGCTATTTATATGATAACAACCATGTGCAATAATCAACAAGTGATTCGTTTTTCCTTTTACAGAATTGAATTTCATGACTGAGAAAGACCATTTGCAGATTCTTCATTAATAGGAGAATTATTTATTAGTTATTACTAATTGTAAGCATGAAATACAGAATAATTAAAGCTCTTCTACCGCACTTCTTAAATAACAAAGCTACTTATCGACTTTTAGTTTCTACTATTTTTTAGTAAAAATAAATTAATATATTATATTAATTGTCTTTTATTGTTTTGTACTTTTGTACGATAGAATATCATATTTTTCATTCAAGAGATATTGAAGCTGTTTATATCCTTAAATATGCGCACTAATAATGTTTGAATGGTCTTCATTACAAAATTGAATTTACCAAAAGGAGCGAGTATTCTAGAATTTTGAGTGAGAACGTACAATTCTGAATTTTATGTACAATAAATATATAGCAGACGTGAATATTTCTATTTGTTGTAATATATTAAATATTTTTAGCTTAATTTCAATAATACTCTCATATAGAGCCGAAATAAGTTGTGTGGAATGTGTAGAGTGTAGAGTATTCACACACGAGACTTTGCTATATGCATAGTGATGCAAAAAAATACTCAGGGCCCTACCAATTCAAAAATTTTCAAATTTCTAAGTTACCAAGTTCATAAATTTTGCAAATTACAAAATCCCAATATTTTCAAATCACCAAATCTCCAAATATCCAAAGTCCCCAATTTTGTACATTTCCAACTTTCAAAATGACCAAATCTCTAAATTATCAAATCCCCTTTTCAAACTTCCAAGTTACTACAAAATATAACAAAATGTATGCCTTACAAAAACTGTGAATAATAACAGTGACGTGTAAATACTAAATACCCTGCATATAAACATAAGGCAGCAAACTAAAAACTGACAGTTACAGTTTTTATTTTTGTTCTTAAATAACTACCCTAATCATGCAAATTTCAGATTAGTCATTCCATTCGGTCATTTCCGTGTTTCTTTCACTACATTTTAGTAGCAATGATTCATTACAATTAAACAGATAACAAAAAATTTTCAGGTGGAGGACTACAGCAATAAAATTGCCACCATATTCAAAACGCATGGATTTCGTAAAGGCGATGTGGTCGGCATACTTTTGGAAAATCGGGTGGAATATGTTTCCCTGTGGCTGGGGCTGAGTAAGCTGGGAATAATAGTACCACTCATTAACACGAATCTTCGTAAAACTTCCCTTCTGCACAGCATCAAAGTGTCCAAGTGTCAAGCACTTATCTATGGTGTAGACTTCAACGATGGTAAGTGAACAAATTTTATAAAACGAAAGTTCATGTAATTACGCATGTAATTGTTAGGTCGTTGAGTACGAAATGAGGGATTTCAAAAGACACAATATCTGATGTGTTTTTGTCTAACTGTATGATAGTCAATGTTTGTTTGCTAATGTTTTACGAGTGCTATTTCAGGATTTTAATTTATAATATTTGTAAATATAACTTTAGAGTGACTTTCAGTGTTAAAAGAGGTTTGAAGATTTGACTTGTTGTAGTAAAGAGTAAATAACAACAGTTTCCTTTCGATGTAAGAAACATTAAATACGATGTTTGAGTATATGCTAAGAGGAAGACTAACAAATAGCACTTGAAAGAATTATTTCCATATGTTACAGACTAAAATATTTAAATAAGTGCTCATAAAACATTTGTAGATAAATAGTAATCGTTATCAAATAGTCAGAGATTTAAAAAAGTGGAATTCATCAAGAAAAATAAATCTCGGTTGAACTGACCGAAATAGTGAAGTTCAACGAACTGTAATTTAGGAAATCGCTCGTGAGAATTTAAATGAATCACCCTTATCTCGTGCTGTTTTCATCGTATCTTGAAAGATTTGATAATTTAAAAATAGTTTAGAATACAAACGATTTAAAATTAAGTGTTCACTAATGAGCAGTACTGATTGTGAGATGTAAATTGGTAGAGTCATTATTTGTTTCAATGAGAAACCTGTTATTCCGCATTAAGATTAATTTGCATAGTCATTGTCATATAACCACAAATTTCAAACTAATATGCCATATATATTCCTTGGAAAATTAGATCAATATATTGTGTATGAGGTTATAGATAATTACTTTACTTTCACCATGTTAGATTATTAATATTATTCTGAGTTTGAAATTAAATTAACAATTGCAATTAACAAATGTAATTAACAATTTAGGGAAATTAGAATTAAATTGTGAAATTAATCGTAACTTGTAAGAAATCAAACTGAAAAATATATGTAAAGAGTATTAAATATCAATTGACGATAATTATTAATTGGAAAGATCCTTAGTTAAAATCAACTTTTAATTTTCAATTAAGAGACAAAAATTGTAATTTAATCCTTAATTAAAGGGAATTTCGTTATGAATAAGACATTTACTATTAATTACTGCATAATGAAAAACTTAATTACGTTTTGAGAATTCAATATCCATATTATTGAAATTTCGATCTGTAAAAATTTGGTGATATGTTGATAGCGAATTTATCTGACGTCGCATATTCTTTATGATAATCTGTTAGTACCAGTTAATTTTGATAAATCCCATAAAACTGCTATTTGATATTCAATGACTACTTACCCATTAGTTATAATTGTTATACGTTTACTTTTTCCCCAAAATATTGAAATTTAACGAAAAACGATATGTTATCTATATAAACGTTATTGATTGTATTTTAAAAATAGATTGATAAAGTGTATTGAAAACATTAATTAAGGTAAATTTATTGCAAATTTATTTTATTTCCGTGTCACACGGAAGAAATATTTATACCCTCGGGAGATATTTAATTTCCGGTTAACCACGCGGGCTATTAATAATTGAACGTGTTGATCTTTATCCTCCTTATTTTCATACAAAGCTTTTTGTTGACGATTAAATGTTATTGAAACTGATATTCAGAATAAAAATACCACTGAAATCGTTCGTAACAATCGTAAGTATAATTTAACGAGGCTTTGTAATTGCATTCGTGAATTAATTGAAAAGTTGTTTTAAATAAGTTAATAATTGCAATAAAGCAAAATATACAATTTTTATCAAATAAACAGTAAATAATTAAAATTAAGTATTATTAGATTTCGTAACTTTAACTGTGTAAAGTGTAATTTTTGAATTTCTAAATTCCTACGTTGGAAAATTAGGAATGTTACAATTTTTATATTGTCCTGCATTTCAATTTGAATATTCCTGCATTTAAAAATTTCTATATCTAACTTCACAAATTTCTAAATTACTAAAATAAGTTTCCAAGTTTCTCAATTTTTAAACTTCCAAACTACAAAGTTCTTGAAACATATAATTTGAAATTAGAACAAATTAGAAATCCCAAAAATATATAATTGACAATGAATAATGAATCAGAAGAGATTTTCAAAACATTTTTCATACTTTGATAAGATTTAAATATTCTAAAAGAATCAGGCTTTTTGCTTTTCGCACAGTGCATAAAAGCAGAACCTTGTATACTGCACATTATTTGTCTTTCCACGGTTACCAGTCTATAAGTGCATTTTGCAGCGGCACTTATGCATCCATGGAGCACTGCAGCATCAATTTAATAAATTAAACGATCGAGTTATTGTGAAACAGTTGGGTTATGCGCTCATACGAACATTACGTACGAACAAAACATGCACATGGTCAAGTACACCCTAAATAGACTGTGCACGCAATATTTTGTCATTGATAAAATAATACTTGAATAATATTACTATAATATTTGACCATTAAAAGTCGAAGGATTCTTCTGACGATGAGGGAACATAAAATCATACAATATAGCTTTTAATTTACAAACTACTTTATTATAAATTACTACAATTTTTGTATTTATTAACTACTTACTGCACTCAAACGAATAAACTCGTATGAGTTTACATTTTTTAATGGGATTAAAAATTAATGGGGTTTATTTTGACTTTCTAACAAGATTTTGTGCACTATGAAAATAAGAAGTAAACGAATATTATCTAGAAAGTAATCTTTTCTTTTTTAATTGATGCATTGAATACTCCTGTTTCTGTTTATTATAATAAACTGAAAAGTGTATAAATTATGATATGCACATTATTTTATCTTAATACATTGTACAGCTACGCGTTGTGTAGTCAAGTTTTATATCGCCACGCATTGCATCGCCTCTCATTATATCAGCACACGTCATATTTCTACATATTGTGTAACCACACAATATATTGCAACGCATTAAACTGTTATATATTATATCGTCATGCGTTATATTGCCTCGCGTTATATCGCTTTGAGTTATATTATCTCGCCTTATATTATCGCGCGTCGTGTAATCACACATTATATTATCATACGTTATATTTTTGCATATTATATAGTCACGCGTTATATTGCCTTACGTTATACAACCTCGCGTTGTATCGCCTCGTATTATATCACCACACGTCGTGTAATCACACATTATACTACCATGCGTGTTATTATCGCATATTATATCGTCACGCGTTATATTGCCTTGCGTTATATCATCTCGCGTTATATCGCCCCGCGTTATATTACCACGCGTTGAATAATCACACATTACACTGCTACTCGTTGTTTTACTACACATTATACCGTCACATATTAGCTATCATCATATATTATATCGCCGTACGTTATACTGCTACACCTTATATTGCCAAGCTTCCCTATAGCGACACGATCACCTCGCATTATATCACAACATTTTGTATATTGTATCTATACAATTTCCTAAAATTTTATTTATAGCATTACATACTAGAGGGTTCTAATTCAACTTTTAAAATGTTACTATTGAGTACCTTATACCCAACATTACTGTCGGTGTACCTTATACCCAGGATTAAAATTGTATCGTTCGTGACCTCTTAACTCGTAAATGAAATGATATTCGATTTATATTGCGTGCGAGTTCAATCAGCGCATAATGGCTGCCATAATGATTGATGCAATAATAGGAAATAGAACTAACTATCCCAGAATTAAAGAAGATTAGGTGTTCGGTTGCGTGGCGTGGTCGATTTGACGTGAGGGCCATTTTATAAACGGTTGCATAACAGAACATACTTACATGCATAGCTACCACGTTTTCACATTATGCAGCAACTATGTAAATAGTATAATAATTTCAATTTTAAATCTTTGTTATAAAAAAACATCGAAGGTATTTTTAATGAGTAATTTTTATAGGAGGGTAGAATTAACGTCTTTGGGAGCTCCACGATGCAAAAATTTTGGAACTTTATGTTTCGAAAGAAAAGTACAGTTTTAAAGTTCTTGAATTGTGGAACTTTAGCATTTTGAAATTTTGGGATTTTAGAATTTTTGGATTTTAGAATTTAAGAAATTTACGAATTTACAATTTAAGAAGTTTGAAACTTTGGAGTTTTAGAATATTGCTTCCTTAAAATTTTAGAAATTCAGTATTTTACAATTTTGAAACTTTGGAATTTTAAAAATCTGAGATTTTGGAACTTCGAAAGTTTAGAATTTTTGGAAACTAGAAACTTTCAGATTTTAGGATTGTAGAAACCAGGAATCTTGAAATATTACAATTTAAGAAACTTGAAACTTAAAAATTCTGGGCCTTAGGACTTCAGAAGTTAACAAGTTTAAACTTCGAAAATTTTTAATTTTCTAGGGACTTTGACAAATATGGTCTTCCCTCGATCTCAAGAGTGCATATTTTTCTTAATAATTAATCTAATCTTTTACTTATTTCTAACCAGTTTCCATTGTACTGTTAAATATTTGCAAAAACAACCTAGCAGTCAATTTTAAGCTACACAATAAAAATGGCCTTATTTCAGGCCTGTAATGCTAGAAAGTTACGAAGAGCTCCATCAGCAAGGAACATTGCAGTCATTGACCCAGAGAAGAAGGTACAGAAATAAAATTGTGAATTGACACGTTTTTTCAGCTTCTTCTTTGTGCATATCGCTACCTGTTCTTTTACGATTCTTATTAACACCTGATGTCTCTACAACAGTGTCCAAGTGTTTGTCCTCGAGTTAGTGATCGTTTCGTTTTGTGACAATGTCGTGCACAAGCTTGGTACTATTGCCCTTTTTAGGGAAAATGTAGGGAACAAAAGCTCCGCTATTTGTTGTAGTATTCAGAAATAATCACACGTTATGCTTTTAGTTTGCACAAGACATTTTCTAATTGAATAAGTAATCCTTACTTAAATAAATGTTTACATAAATGTTATGTGCAATGATAACATTTTTTGGATAAGAGTAGGGACAGAATTTTCCACTTGCTTTTAATTTTGGAAACACCTAGGAAAAACTTAGAGTTAACCTTATAATCTAATAATCTTCATACATTTCTTCTTAATTAGAGCTGAATCTACATCTTTTCACTTTGGATGATCATCGTGATTGGTTTATAGAAGAACGTAGTTCTCGTCGAAAATAAACTGGACACAATCGATTTCTATTTTTAATGAGTCGAATAGATGGTTCGTAGCATAATGCGCGGTATATTAAAAATCCATTTGATGATTATGACCTTTGGAGGCCATACAAAAACAGAAATAAAAGAAATAATCAAATAAGCTTTAAGTCGATGACTGTTTTGTTTCTTGCGGCTACATTTTTTCACCGCCTAACTAACCCCTCATGCTTTTACATTAGGAACGAGCTTTATAATAATTTTTGTAATAATATGATACAGCGTAGCCTTTATAAGTTCCACATATGTAATATTATGTGTCATAATACAAAAATTTTTTAAAAAATGTTAATTCATAAATATAGGTGTATAGAAAAGATAAAATAGCAGTTCAAAATTCATGAGAATGTTTCTTGATAAATTTATAATAGTAAACGGGTTTTTCTGTTGAACATGGAAGACCACGTTCGATCACCTTAAATATTCAATTAAATTACTAAAAAGTTAAAACCTTCTTTTCAGATTTAGTTCAGAAAGTTTATTATTAGAAGATTAATTTACTAATTATTTAATAAATATAAATTCTAATGGTATATAACATATGTAGCATAATAAATGTGCAACGTAAAGGCATATGTCTTGGCCATGTTTTCATTCCTAATTTGGAATAAAGTGTAATGCTATTTTTTGTAGTAATTTTTATCTATCATAAGCTCAACATTTCGCAGTTAACAATCACGTTGAAATTCTAATTACCATTTTATTAGATGCCCAATTTATTTTACTGACTGAGAAACTTTTAATAACTTGTTGAATATATATGAAATTATTTTCATCTGAAAAAGGCAACAATCCGTAAATTTTATTAACGACATTTCGGCAATTACGTATATTGTTTATAATTTTTCTGTCATTTTCAGAACAAGTAATTATGGGATTCTGATTTCTTAAAATCAATAGATATATTAACAAAACTGTCATTATCATGCAGATTAAAAACTGATCATTGTTATTTTATAGTTTTTGCAAACGTAATGTGGTTTTGTAAAATAACAAAGATATTTCGTTTCAGCCCTGTCAGATATTGCAGAGTCGTTGGATCCAAAATTTATATTATATAGAATCGGTAATTTATCGAACTCCAAAACGTCAAAACTAAATAGCTTAAATGACAAAGATTTGGTCGCTCTTGCGGCCGATGTTTCCCCGGCTCCGCCGGTCCTACAAGAAAAAGGCTGTTATCATGATCAATTATTGTATATTTTTACCAGTGGCACAACTGGTCTTCCTAAAGCTGCTGTTATAACAAATTCTAGGTAAGAAATATATGATTTTTTATGTTAATGGAATAGTTCATTTATTACTAACTACAAGATAATATAAAAGTCATTTCCTAATTCCCGATTATTCAAATCTCCAAATCTTTGAATCCCTAAATCTAATTTTTGAATCTTAATTCAGTATGCTATAAATTTATTAAACTAATTGTGAAACTAGATATTACATTGCTGAATTCGTGATATGCATTCACTACATAACTCATCGCCTGATTTAAGTAATAATAATGACCGAACGGGAAATGATTACCTATTGATTTCTCGTTTGTCCAGAATTATTTATTGCTCTATGTATTGCTCGATGTCTTTTACCTTATATTGACCCAGAATATATAGTCCGCAGCTACGATTGATTTCGAAGAATACAAAAATGAAAGTTTATAATTATGGTAAATAATGTTGTTTCTCAATTAACCATTCATGTTAATCTCTATAATAAAGATTTCTAATTTAGCTATTTTTTTCAAATGTCTATGAAATCGAATATCTGCTGCTAAATAAAATGTTTAAATTATAGTAATATGAGAACATTTTCGGAATACTCTTTAATATATAAATAAAACGTCGTTATTAATTGTATTCCTTGCTAACAAAAACTCTATTTTATTAGAAAATGTGTAATTTCAATTTTTATTTTTTTTTAGGTATATGTTTATGTCAGCTGGTATTTTTATGATGGCGAAATTCAGAAATTCTGATAGAATTTATACGCCTTTACCATTGTATCATACTGCTGGAGGTATAATGGCAGTTGGTGCAGCTCTTCTTTATGGAGCATCAGTAGTAATTAGAAAAAAGTTTTCAGCAAGCGCCTACTTTACTGAATGTATCAAGTATGACTGTACAGTAAGTTTCTTTTTTGCTTAACACTTTTATTCTATAAAAGTATAGTTTATAAACTAAGTTATAAGAGTATTCTTAGGAAGACAAAATGGATCCATTTTTGTGAACCTATTGAGGAAAAAGTAAAATTTTATCTAACATCTTCTATTAAAATAATATTTAAAAATCAAATGAAATTAAATATTTAATATTACAGCACATATATAAATTGTATAAATTACTATTACCCCAAAGTAAAGTAATAGTCATAATTTATTTTCTAGGTTGGTCAGTACATTGGTGAAATGTGTAGATATATTTTAGCTGTACCTCCAAAGCCAGAGGATAAGAAACATAAAATTAGGTTGATGTTTGGAAATGGTTTAAGACCACAAATATGGCCCGAATTTGTGGAACGATTTAATATTCCTCAAGTTGCTGAATTTTATGGAGCAACAGAAGGAAACGCTAATATTGGTAAATAATCAATACTTTATGTACTAATGATGGGTGTTTGTTGTTTTTTGAGTCTTCTTATCTTATAAACAATGTGAAGACATCATAATAAAATTTGTTATAAGTTTCAATTTTTAGGACATGTATAATTTTAAATTACAGACAAATTATTATTATGACTTTGGTATTAGCTTTTGTTATTTCTTTTTGTATTAACATATTATATCCTTTTTCAGTAAATATTGATAACACTGTTGGAGCAATTGGTTTCGTATCACGAATAATTCCATCAGTTTATCCCATTTCTATTTTAAAAGTGAATGAGGATGGTGAACTAGTAAGAAATGAAAAAGGTTTATGTCAGGAGTGCAAACCAAGTAAGTATCGCATTTAATAAAAATAGTTATAAATAATTTTGTTCAAATTAATAATTTTGTTCCTCTAAATATTTTTAGATGAGCCAGGTGTATTTATTGGAAAAATTATACCCAATAATCCATCTAGAGCATTCTTAGGATACGTAGATCAGAAAGCATCTGAAAAGAAAGTAGTCTATAATGTCTTCAAGAAAGGAGATTCAGCATTTATATCTGGTATAAATTTATCATAACAATTTTTTTCTTAATATTCACAGTTTAATATTATTAAATAATAATTTTGTTTATATATGTAATCATAATCGTACAAAAATATTTTAATTTTCTTTCTTTTTATTAGGTGACATTTTAATTGCTGATGAATTGGGTTATTTATATTTCAAAGACAGAACAGGTGATACTTTTCGATGGAAAGGAGAAAATGTTTCAACATCTGAAGTTGAAGCTATTATCAGTAATCTTATTAACTATAAAGACTGTATTGTATATGGAGTTGAGGTAAATAAAATACTTAAACATCAATATAATAGAAATAAGTAAAAATTAAATACTCTTGAATAAATTTATAACTTCTCGTTACAAAAGTTATAAGTTATAACTGCTTGTTTTAATTTTCTAAAACTTTTTATATTCTTTATTAGATTCCCGGACTCGAAGGTAAAGCTGGAATGGCGGCAATATACGATGAAAATTCTGAATTAGATATGAACCGGTTATCAGTTGATTTGAAGGAACATTTAGCCTTTTATGCAGTACCTAAGTTCATCAGAATTTTAACAAAGATTGATCTTACAGGTACTTGGAACAAATAATTACTTCTTCCGCAATTGTCTAACAAAAATAGAGTAGATAAATAGAATTTGCTATTAACAGAATTACGCTTAATTTCTACTACATTCGTTATTTTAAAAATATTTTTTGGATCTATTGTAGTATATAAATATAGTTTGAGAATAATATATGTTCAAAAGTCATTCTGAATACTTAGAAAGTAAGTTATTTTAATATTTATTTCAGGTACATTTAAATTAAAGAAGAAAGATCTTATAGAAGATGGATATGATCCTAAAAGAACACAAGACAAACTATATTATTTAAGTGAAAAGTCTGGATATCAATTACTAACTCCTGAAATTTACGAACAAATTCAACAAGGAAAACTTCGTTTTTAAGTTATGCTTTGAAAAGAAAAAGAATAATTATGGGAACAATTTTTGCTGCAACTATTTACAGCTTATCATCTAGGTGAAAAGATGCTTTTCATCTTCATTATATAGAATCAAAAAATTGCTTTATGTGACACTATAATTGAATGTTTCAATTGTAATGATTTTCACTCCGTTATTTTTTAACTTTTGTATGAATTTATATTTCACATAAATTATTACAGTTATTGTTCAAGATATTAACATCAATATTAAAATGAAAGATTTTTTATTTAATAACACGATATAATTTTGTTTTCATGCTTTAAGTCATTTCTATAATATATCTTTCATCTTTAAATTATATTGCATTTTATAAAAAACAATTGTTTTCGTATATTTATAAAAGCTGCAACTAAATGTATATTTCAAAGAAATAATTTCCTCGCAACACATTTTATAAAACGTACATATAATTTGAAAAGCTGTAAATTTATACAAGGTACTAAATTTGGAATTATACATAGCAAAAGTACGCAAGTGAAATATGTATTTTGTAACATGAATATTATTTTTAGTTCAAAATCTAGAATTGTTATAAACATGTTATACTATTGTACCTATATTTTAGTACATATTGTTGTTGTTATACCATTATCATTAAGCATTAAGTACATAAAATAAATTATTGTTAATAGTATATCATTATATAGAAAACCTGTATAGTTATAAAAAGAAAATTTCCAGAATTAAAATTCGGTGGAAAGTACATATATTTTACATGACAAATATAAATATTTTATCACGTTAAAACATTCCATTACAAACTGCTAATATATTACCGTCCGGCTATATTTTCTAGCCATATTATTAAATTTTTTAGAGCATGATAATTTATTTGAATTTTTTATAATAATTTCGATGAAATTATATAACAGTCAAAAACAGTTACTAATTATAAAGTAACTAAACTATATGAACACGATGGAATCGTTAATATTGTAAAAATACTATAAATATTTGTAACAAATACTGTAAAAAGATAATTCGTTCTGAATGTTTAAAGTATTTGTTAAAATAATAATTTATCGTAACGTTTCAATTGATTTGAGCTTTGCACTATAAACATGTTATTGAAATTTTCCTTTTCATTACTGTTCATTCCTACTATTTATTAAACCAAAAATTTAATTGAATTTATTGTTCAAGAAAATAGCAAACTGTATTAATACCAAATAAAACATACACTGATATGTACATAATACATTGATTTAAATATAATATGAATGTATATTATGTGTATGGATATTCTTCCTTCTTTATTAAAAAATTATGAAATACATAATATTAAAATAGGAAGTATGTAAATGATTTTATGTAGGATACATCTGCAGCATAAAAATTAATTATGTGGATGGTAATGTGTACTACATTATGCAGAAAGGTTGAAAGTGAATTAATATAATTAAACATATGTGATTGTAGGAAACGCGTATTACTACAGTGAATTTTAATAACACATGATAGATGCTTCTACATTTTCTCAATCGTTTTAAGTTGACAATACAGCTTAAAAGAACTGCTTATAATTTAAATTGTTTATACAAAATTTTTAAATAATTTGGAAAACTTTATTAATAAAATTTTATTAGAATAAAAATGGGAAACTTGTTTGCACAATTTTTATTTTACAATGTAGATGTGTACTAATAAATATATGTTAAGATAAAAAAATATAGACTATAAACAGAATTGTTTTAAGCGTGCAAATATGATTCATTTATGTGTTAATATTTATAATCAATTTAAAATATGTTCTTCTTAAAGCATTGTTATAATAAATATCTTATTTATAAATTGTAACAAATTTTAAACGTTAATTTAATATTCTGATTTATTACTTAATTATTACGTTTATTAAAAACAACATCTTGAAACAAAATAATATATAATTGAATAAATATGTTTCATTCTAACATTTTTTGTTAGACACATAAATGAAAGCGTATAATTATTTTTTTTTGTAAACGTATTTAATATGTAATTTAATTGCATAACGTTATAATTTGTGAAATGTATAAACAAAATATTTTTTAATTTAATACTTTGTCGTTTCACAAATATCATATATTATAAAATTCTTTCCATTTTAATATAATCTTTACTTAAAGTAAATATAATTGTTTAAGTAATTTCTAGTATTTCTATTAGTTAATCTAGTAATTCAATAATGAAGATAATAAAATATTTCTATAATGCATCAGTTTAAAAAATCTTCCGACAATTGTTAACACTACGAAAATCTTGCGTGTTTTTAAAGTATATTTGTATAATTCCGGTAAATTCTTGTTATTTGTTACATTTTTAAATAAAATTTTTCTATTTTTTACGACGGTTGTTATGCAATACTTATACCATTAATACCGACAGTGTAATTAATTTATGTGCAATTATTTAAATGAATTAAATCGTGATACCTTAAAAAATGCATTTACTAAAGGAGGATATATGAGGTTCTCAATGACGTTCATTGCATAGGATTTTAAATACAATATGAAATTATATTATATATTTACAAAATTCATCTCTTTTTACATTTCAACAAAATTATAAATTAAATACAGAAGTTTTCTTATACGAAGATTTCCATGTACAAAGTATAGAAAAAAAATAATTATATTATTGTAATAATATGTAATAAATAAGTAGAATGCATACAGAACAATAATATATAATAATAGTTATATACTCCATTAAAAATTTGAATTATTTTGCTATATTTGTTTTAAGTAATTCTGAGTACTAATGCTTTTTATTTAGGCCTTGAATTTTCTTTTTGTTTATTTGTGATAATTACGTAATAAAATCTGTAGTGTACATTTTAGTACTTAAAAATATACCAAATTTTAATATAGCCCCATTTGTAGGTTCAAAAAAGATATCTTCTTCAATAGCCCAATCATCATTCGTAATTTCTGAAACATAATGTAAAGTACAACTAAATTCAAGTTTTGAATTTAATGACACAGTGGATGTATCAAATACATAATATTAACTGTTGTCCCAGAAAAATCGCAAATATTTTCTGAGCTATCTAATCATTTACAGAAACATGACAAATTAAAAAATTGAAATGTAAAAATTTTTATCTTACTTGGCTTAACTGGCGATGGTTTTGAAAATAAAGTTACACGTGATTTCTTCAGAATTATCTTTTCCATACATCCCAACTTTACTAACATCTGTCGAAAAAATAATTTTATAAAATTTCAACTGAATATTATGTACAAATTTATTTTAGACATCATAATATATTAATAGTAAATAATATTAAAAATACAATAGAATCGTACACCTATACGTATAAATGTATATTTATTAATAAATTACCTCTGCTAGTTCCCGTGTATGAAATGGTTGTAGAACAGGAATAAATCTATTTTGTAATTTAGATAATGCAATACCCGGGTGCGTCAAGCAATACGACAAAACTGATCCTAACATACGGTCAAGCACTCTACGATTTAAAACTCCATCTATTCGAATCCATGGTTTCATTACCACCTTCACTTCTTGTTTTGTACTGAAACATGAATTAAATTTAAATGGTGCTGTGTTTATATACTGTAATACAAATTATTAGTTAAAAAAATATGTAAATAAGTAAAGATTTATATAATTAAGTACTCATTATATAAATTAAATGAATATGAGAAAGTAATAAAAAGAGAAACTTACTTTAAATCTAATTGTTTGACAGCTCGAGATATATCTTTCTGAGGTAGTAATCGAGTCCTTTTTCTCTGCATTCGTTTCTTCACTTGTACAGTGCTATCGTCATCGCTATGGCTAAACATATCTTTATCGAACTCTTCATCCCTTTGACATTTTGCTTCTGACTTAATATCCATTTCAGTCTCATCTTTGACATCAATTTTTGATAACCCGCTTTCAGATGAACTTGGATTTTTATTGCATTCTTCTGTTAGACTTACATCACTACTTTCATTAACCATTTCTTTTGTATCCGTCAAATATACTGTTCCCTTGGGTACAGGTACAAGTGATTCTTTTTCAAGACGAAATATTTTGTATGAATGTATCAGCCAAGGATCAGCATGGCCGTAATGAATGTATCGAACAGTTGTTACACCAGATCGTAAGAATAAACGATGTTCCGTAAGAAGTGTAGTGATGCGACGTAAATCCTCTCCCAAAGAACTTTCAAATTCATTCTGTAAAATAAAAATTGAAATAAGAACATATTTTAGTTATCTGTTACTACATTTACTAAAAGACATATTTATACTTACTATCAGTTCTTGGATACTAGCTCCAATTTCTTGCTTATCGCGTACAAACTTGTAAACCATTTCAATATTATTTAAACTTAGTGATAAATCTTTGGGCAACTTTTTTTTGAAATCGGAATATGAAATACCGTCTTTAGGAAAAACGGCATACTTATTTATTTCTTGTACGAAATCGTTTGCAGCATTTAAGTTTAATGGCAACAAATCCCGAGGTAATGAAAGACCTCTAAATATTTCATTTTCTTTCGAATCTTGCGATTTCGTATACAAAGAATATAAAACTTTAAACATATTTACAACAAAATATTCGTGTGCATGATGACTATCAGCCGCTGTGAGTTCGCTTAATTCGACTCTCATTCTTAATAAAGCTATCCGAGTATAACGTTTATCTATATCAGTTGAATCGTCGATCTTACAAGAAGAATTTAAATAACTTTGTTCAAGCGGAATATTTTTTAAAATATCACTAACACGAGTGTAAGTATGTTCACTGCTTTTCTTCAATTGCGGAGTTTTAGGTTCCTTACTTAATGTGGTTTCTTTACAATTAGGTTCTAAATCATTAGTATTTAATTTTGCATCAGTCATTTCAACAACTTCATTGTTAGAATGTTTTCCTAAATCTTCATTTTGTACTTCATCGGATACTTCAATCGAAACATTATTGCTTTGTAATTCTTCAGTACTTTTTTCTTGTTTAATATCTACAGTTTCACTGTCTAATTTTGTTCGTTTGTGAGCAGGTTCACACGGATCAAGCAATTGTTTATCATCTCTTGGTCTCTTTTTTTCAGGTGTAATGAACTTTTCTTGTATTGATTCTGTATTTGCTATGATTTCTGCTTCATCTGTATTTATGTTCTTTGACAATGGTTTACAATTATCCTCCATTTGACTACCATTTTTAGATTTTGAGATTTGATCAGTACTTTTTGTTTCATCATGTGTCTTAGAATTGTTAGAAAGATCAACTGCTACTTCTATCGCTGAATTTTCATCACAAAATGTAGAACCCTCTAAATCATCTTTGTTTAATACAATTTTTGTTCCGTCTTGAAGCTTAATTATATTGTGTTCATCATCAATATTACGACCATTTTCTTCTTCGCTATCAAAATTTAAATCATCATAATTCATCAAATGTTTTGCATCTTCAAAATTTCTTTTCTTGCCAGCACATTCTTCTGAAAGTATATTAGTCTCTCGACCCAAATCTAAAAAGCCATTTTTATCTGATTTCACATCAACATTATGTGTGTCAGTATCATCCAATATATCAGCTGTAGAATTAAAGCATTTATCAATGCTACTATTTTGTAAAGAAGGTTCTTTCACAAATTTCAAATTATCTAAACTTGCTAATACGTCTTGATATCTTTGAGCTATCCTAAAATAAGTCTCATCTTTCTCTTTCAATCTTGGATCAAGCATTATAACTTGATCAGGTATTTCAATATCAAAATCCAGTTGATCCCTCACAACATAATCATGTATTGCTCCTACTATACCACCAGTAACTGGCAATACTTCAATGCCGTTGAAATTATTCGATTCTTTCATCTGATTATCTAATTGATTTTCACAATACCGATTACTAAGCTTAAGAAAAACGTCGTATGATTCATTGAAAAGGCTATACGGCCACTTACTTTGGAACTTATACATGTAATTACTACTTAACTGATACTGAGAACTGCTCATTGGCATGTAATTACCATATTTCCTCAAAGCAGCTAAATGATGTTTTCTAATTGACACCATTTGGTCACTTCGAATTTTTGCCATAGCATTTCGTAGAAGCATCTCAGGATATTGCTGATATACTTTAAATAACTGATACGCCCAGGACCTTCTGTCTTTCCCACAACACATGGAACTGTGGATAACAGAATTGATTACTACGAAATGTATATCATTGATGTTTCGAACGTCTTTCGTGAATCCTCTATTACTGAACTGTCTCATCGGATGCACGACTTTGTAAAGTAAATTAAATTCCTGCACTGTATTAGGCACAGGAATAGGTTCTTTAGACTCAACATCTGAGATACCGTAATATTTCTTTGCAGTATAAGCAACAAGATATTTAAATGTTTCAGTAACTTGTCTTTCGTACTCCAGAGAGTTTTTGTATTCCTCTTTGAGTTTATCTATGATACCATCAAAACGTTTCTTGATAAAGAAATTTTGTTTAAGTTCTTCAACTCCTAAAGCAACTGCATCGACGTTTCGTTGCTGTCTGAGCATATATAAAAGCCGTCGTTGACATGCTCTCGACGTTTTATTATAAGATGTGTACGAATATATTCGAAGTATATCTCTAACCGTAGAAAATGTTATCACTTGCCTACGTGGATTTGAGCAAAGATACATCATAACAATCTTACAGACAAGCAAAATTTTATCTTCGTGCGGTTCCCAATCCACTCGTAGTTTATGCATTCGTTGTAATGCCCGATAATCAATTTCATCATACTTCGTTCGCCTTTTACTGTTACATTTTCGCGGTAATACTCTCCTCACGTAGGATTTTTGCTTAGCACTTCGCTGACATGCCAATACTTCGTATTTTTTATGTTGATTTGAGCTCTCCTCAGTTTTAGGTTGTATTTTCTTTCGAAGTTCTGTTACATTTACAGAAGGTGGGCCGCATACTGTTTTCAAACCAGCAAACTCAGTGAACTTCAGAGGTTTAACTTTTATTTTAGAAAGATATTTGTCTCTTTCGTAAACTTCACTTTGCTTCTTCTTCGTTTGTGGAGTAGCACTAGTGATACTCCAATTCCAGTTCCGTTTGAGATGCGCGAAACACGCTGAATCTATTCCTGCAGCACCTTTACGATCACCAGGCATTTTGCCGATATCCAATTTTACAGCTTCTTCGGGAGAACGAGCTACGACTGCTTGTATCATGTCACTTTTTTTACTTAAGTCTTCCAGTACTATGTCTTTCCCTTCAACGGCAAGTCGACCACCTAATGGTGTGTTGATACATATATTCCACATATCATACCAATACTTCTCCACTACCTGAATTTCAGTAAAATTATATTTGGTCACGGGATAAGATTTATCCTGAACCATGTGGTAACTAGGCGCAGATGATGTCGTATCCATTAATTCTGCGTGACGATTTATATAAATAAACACTTGGTCTTTTTCTTTCAACTTTTGCGGTCCAAATTGTACTAATCCAATATAACACAATCTTGTCACCGTTTCATGAATGTTAAATATGTACTTCCGTGCATATAACAAAGAATTGCGAATATCAATTGGTAAATCTCTAACTAAATAATGTTTTCGAATAGGATGATTAATATATTTCTCTATTTCTGGTACTGTATAAGAAATATAATGGACCTTGAAAAATACTGACAATGGTAGACGTAAAAGGATATCACACATTAATGTCCACCCTGCAGGCCAACCTAAAAGGAATATATTATTCTTATAATTCACAGAACATTATCTCATGAACATGACAATATATTTTATTACTTATTTTTTTATGAACTCAAGTATGCAATATAAAAATAAAAGTTATTGTAATTACTGAAATAACATACCAGTATATTTTGGTAAAGGTGGTACAAACATTTTCCAACTAACATCGTTAGTATAAATTTTACTAAATTCTTCTATCAGTTCTTCCGAAATATTAAAATCGTTATTTTTTAAAGCTTTTATATACTCAGTTTGTGAAAGTAATGGTTCGCCCGGATGTTCATAAACTAAATAAAATAAAAAAATATGCAATGCTTGCATACGAAGAAATTTTGGACTATATCCATATTTTCTTGATACTCTCTGTAATAAAAAGAAAGTAAATTAATGACATTCAGTATCTCATTTGAAGATTATTATTATTAGTGTTAAAAATAATAAAAACGGAATAAAATATTTAAAAAATTATATACATGTAAAAATTTAGTTTAATAATTATATGAAGGTGTTTATTTAAGTTTATACTAGCTAAAAGGTAATCAATATTTTAGTTCTCAAATTTACTTATAACTGCCAAATAAAAGACTACTTACAGCCGCAATTTTACATGATGGTGGTAATGTTGTAGGTAATTTAAATGGAGATTTATTACTTTCAAAATTATCTGTTACATCATCAGCATTAGTATTTTTTACATCTGTGTTTTCCGCCATTTTCTTTATCCATGTCTTATGTCTATGACTACCCAATAAATAAAATTTTAGCTTTGCTTGTTCTATAGCTGATTGAATAACAGCACTATTAACATCAATATTTGGATCACATATAAATGTTAAACTTTTCTCTTTCCCATTTGCGCTTAGAACTACTTTTATATTTTTTATCAAATTGTCTTTTGCAAGTTTTTGTAACAATCTTATTAAAGATTTTTTATCAATTTTTACATCATATCCTTCTTTATCTTCTTCTTCGTGTATCATCTAAAAAAAAGTTTAAAATAAATTTAACAAAAACAGGAGATAATATATAGAAATACTGACATATATTGATATCTATCATTAAAATACATTTTTAAAAATACTGTCCTACCTTTATTAATTTTGTCATATCATCAATGACTTGATGTTGTTTAACTGATTCTATGATCATATTAGCTCTTTTTAATAGTCTGTATGTTATATTTGTGAAGTTCTTCTTTTCACAATTTTGCACATCTTCGATAAACCCAAATATTTCATTCTCTGATTTAGCAGTACTTGCAGTTGTTAAAACTGTCAAATCGACTTTTATGTTTTTATAAGCTGTTGCTGATTTCTGTTTCTTTGATAATTCAGACATCCCCAATGTCAAATTATCCGAATTAATATCTTTTTCTTTTACTTCAACTCTACTAACTGTACTTGATACATGCTTAGAGCATGTTTGTTTATATCTATTTGGACGTTTTATTATACGATATTTGTATAATATTCGATTTACTACATAAAATACTTTTTGTAATTCTACTGCAGTTACATTTGACCTTTCTTCTGCTTGGGCATTACAATTAATGTCAATAACTTCACATACTGCATTGCTTTTAGTTTGTTGTATATTTTCCTTTTGATCATTGGTATTAATTTTTTCTTCTTGTTCTGGGTTTATATTTTTAATTATTTTACTTTCTTCCACATCATCAGTTTCAGTTGGAATTTGTTTTTTAAATTCTTTAATTTTATGCATTTCCTTTTTAAACTGTTTGCTTAACTTACTACCTTTCTCATATTTTTTTGATACATATTTTGTAACCCTCTGTCTTCCAAAATCGTTCATATAAGTAGCAACAATGTTTGTTTTAACTAAACTTCGCAAAATCGTCCGTGATTGTAATTTAGTCAACCCCATTATTTTAGATAAACCACCTTGACATACACCATCGTTTCCACCAGCCTCAATTATTTTATTTGCTTGTTTTAAATAAGGTAAACCATATTTGTGGCTTGAGATATCTAACTCTACAAAACAAATACAATAAACTTATATTGATTTAACAATAAAAATGAATAATAAATCATAAATATGAACAGAAAGTTTGACAAATAAAACACCTTCTTTCTTTCAAGATTGATCAAGATATTTTACTAAATTTTATTCATAAAAGATCAATATCAAATAACAAATAAACAAACCTTGTGGTTCATCGTCTTCTTGTATTTCATCTTTATTCCATGCTTCAAGAATATCAATATCTGGGAAGAGCAGCTGCACTACTTTAATTTTCTTTTCTCTTAATGGAGTATTTTTCAACCGCCATTCCTCAGGTTTTGCATTAGGATATAAAGTTCTGTATGGCACCCTCTGTTTAAAAATACAATTATTTTAATAAATATGTACAACTACACAATATCAAATAAAGATAAAAGATATGTAATTTTTTACTCACTATATCTGTCTTTACAACTTTCTGAAAGAACGAAGTTTTAAACAATTTCTTTATTGCATTTTCAATTTGTAGCTTACGTTTTATTTCATCGTATTCTGCAACACAATTAGGTTTTGATTTGAGAATTTTTATAACTTCCTCAGCCAAAAATATTATTTTTGGTTTTCTTTCAACAAAAAACCTTGGAAGATGTAAAAGACTTCCATTGAAACAATGACCACCACTTTTTTGATGATGTATTTGCTTTGTTATCAATTTATGACGTAATAAAAACTTTCTGTGATAAAATAAGCTCTTTGGATCTTCTTTTAGTGCATTAAGACTAAGTTTTCCCTGAGTAACTTCTCCATGATATCGTGACCTTCCTATTCTTTCCAAAAAACAATATTGTATTGCATTTAGCTCTAATATTGGAGATACTTCATCTCCCATTAACGCACGGTTCCTAGCAGATTGCGATGCAACGATAACCAATTTTTGACCATATTTGTTTATAACTTCATCCAAGCTCAGATTTCTTACAAATTCTGAGATCTGTCTGCGAGCATAATAAGTTGAGCAAGATCCTTTAATACCATTAGCAATATCATATATAGGACAATGTGGGTAAATATCTGGTGGCACATCATCCTATAAAAATTTATAATCTTTTTTTTCCTGTGATCTCTGAATACAATCAAAATTTTATTTAAATACTCACTGGCTCTAATATAACACCTAAATCAGGATCTACAAATTGATAACGATCAAAAATTACAAGTGGTTCTCTTGCAGTTTCTAATTCATAAAATGTAAATTCTCTTATCTGTACACATAATGACCATATTTGAATCATAAATGGTTTTGGAAATGGCAAAGAATTATGAAGTCGATGTGACAAACGTAACCATAATGCTAAAACAGAAAAATATACATATACACATAATTGAAAATATGATAATATGACAAAGTTGTTCAAGGTTTTAACAAATATATTTCCATCGACTCAAGTATAAAAATTTAGGCACACTTATATTCACTGTTATTAAATTATGAATATACAACATGACAATTAATAAATAGATATTTGATTGGTAAATATACTGTTAAAGAATAGAATGAACTACTATATCATAAAAAATAATGTGTACTATTATAGTAAAATAGATATTAACATTTACTTTACACTAACCTTCTATGGTAATACCATCCAAACCTTCTAATGAAACTTCGTCAATTATTATATCTACTAAATTAATTGATGGATACGACACCATATTTAATTATACAATAACACATCAATGCAATTATAACACAATAAATTCTTTATATTTCTCATTTATGTACAAATTTTTTTAAAGAACCGGGCTCTTGAACTATCAGTTCTTGTCAGTTCTGCGCATTTCAGCTCTGATTGGTTCTACCATGCTCTGTAACTAAGAGCAACACGGCAACACACAACGCCTTTATGACATTCGGAATGCCACGCGTGGCATACTCAGTGTATTTTTATTTTGTATAGTCACTAAAAGGAATTCCTAAACCCATTGTATCTCAATCGACAGATGAAGAAATTCGAGTTATGGGAATTACAGTATTTTATAAAAACGTAAGAGAGAATAAAGATAATGTAGCAATTAATTTGCTTCTAAAAAGTCGGAGAAAACTGTAGGTTATGGAAGAAAATGTGATGAATACATAAATCGAACGATTGCTTTCTAACGCCGTATTAAACGTCGTTCACATTAGGCTATTTTGACAGGTACTTGCCTAATCTGAACGCCCCCTTATGCAGGGTCGCCGCAGCGCCATCTAGCAGTGATATGCGGAACTACATTCGAAACTTCGCTAATGATATATTACCGTTGAAGTGTAATCAATTAATTACCGACAGAATTCGGACGGTACTTTGTACCTGTTAATCATAGTTCAGCAGTTTGTTGTTAGATGGCGCTGTTAACAGCATTTGTGGCGGTTTTTTTAAAAGATTCTTTTTTTCTTGATGTATTTATATGCGTATTATTTTCAATAATTCCTATACTGTATGGTGATCATCAGAGTCATCGATCAAGACTGGGTGATCATCAGAGTCATCGGTCAAGATAAGTTCTGTTATCAAAGTCGTCGATCAAGAAGAATTCTATTTGTACTTGCGAACAAATGATTAATGTTTAAAGCTATCGTCGTTTGATCAATTTTATTTTAATGATAAAATCGTTCGCTATTCATTCCGTAATCAAATTTTGTAGAGATGACGCGAAGAAACAGTATGTCATCAGTTGATCCTATAAATTCTAATTCGCACACTATACTGTGTCCCATAGATTACAAGTAATTACAAAGAATTACATAAAAATAAATTTGAATACAATAATTCGTAGATAATTTACAAGATTATGGAAATTATGGAAATAGTGAATTACAATAATTAATTTATATAATAATGAGTTACATTAAAATATATCGTAATATACTAATTGACAATCATTTTGCAACATATCTGCTAGAATAAGTTAATAAAAAACGATGAATTTGAATAGTTACAACAACAATTTTACAAATAAATAACTAAAAAATTATTAATTACTGTAAAATATATCGTAATAGATTAATTCATAATCATTTTGCAACATATCTGCAAGAGTAAGTTAAAAAAAATAATAAATTTAAATAATTACAACAATAAATTTGTTAATAAATCGAAAAATATAAAATTATAAAAAAATTAACGTTAAAATAGTTATACAACATCCAATCAGAGTGGTTGCACGCTATTGGTGGATTACGTGATGTCTGATTGGTTACTGTACACTACCAATCACCCTTACACTTGAAGAGGTCGAATGGGATCTATTGATGGAGTATTATGATGTCTAATTGGCTGTCATCAACTACCAATAACACTTACACTGGTGGGAGGTCAAACGCTATCAGTCCTATTTTGGAAGTCGAGGAGGTCGGACCGCACCTGTCAACACTTACCGGTACGAGTCAAGGGTTCACTTAACCGATATTGTGCTTGTCCCTGTATTACCTAATGTGTTTTAACAAGTGTTTAATGTGCTTTAATAAATATTTTTAAATAAATATGCGGGTGTATTAATAAATTTTATGGTGTAATTCTACAAGTGTCAGTGACTTTAACAATGTGTTACCTGCATGCATATATGGATATATTAGTGTACCTAGCTTACCGATATTGTGCTTGTTCCTGTATTACCTACTGTACTTTAACAAGTGTTTAGTGTGTTTTAATAAATATTTTTTAATAAATATGCGGGTGTATTAACAAATTTTATGGTGTGATTCTACAAGTGTCAGTGACTTAGCCAGTGTGTTACCTGCATGCATATACGGATATATTAGTGTACCTAGTGTGTTATTACTAGTGTTTAACGGGTTAAGTTCAAGAAAATGGGGTACCCTCCGATTTAACAGATTTATATATCAAAAGAAAGCCCTTGACTTGGCGATTTCAACGGTGGTCATCCCACCCCTTAACTCCCACCCCTCTGCCCCCTAGAAGCCCCGGTACGAGTCAAGGGTTTACCTTACCGATATTGTGCTTGTTCCTGTATTACCTACTGTACTTTAACAAGTGTTTAGTGTGTTTTAATAAATATTTTTTAATAAATATGCGGGTGTATTAACAAATTTTATGGTGTGATTCTACAAGTGTCAGTGACTTAGCCAGTGTGTTACCTGCATGCATATACGGATATATTAGTGTACCTAGTG